CTGCCAAATTCAAATGTGTACCGGAATGTAAACCAAACCCAACCCAACCTCAACCTTCATTTGATTAGAAATAATCCGCCCAAATATAGTATACACAAAGTTGAAAAGAAGAAAGATGGGGCTGGTGGTTCTTAAGGATGGTATGGTTCCTTCGGGCTCTGTCAGCGGCGGAATTTCCTTGTCCAGTGGTTCGCTGTTTGTTAGTTTCTTGTGCATTTTTGTATCCCCAAAAATTGAGAGATGTTGGCAATTTTCAAGGCAGCCCAGGTTGGACCCCACAGCGTCTGCTTGATGGAACAAGCAAGCAATATCATCTTCGATATTTATTCCTCTCCACAGTAAGAATGTTTAAATTCCAATCAGGAAATGATATTAGACCTGCCTGAAAGTATGCTAGGAAATATATCAAAATCCCTCTGGGAAAAGTGAAAGTGAGTTTACTGTTAATGAATAGTTTAAGGTTTATAGAACCTGGTTGGCTCAAAAACGAGCCAAGCCAAGCTCATTTCCAACGTTCCTTCTTAAAATTCATATATGAAATGTTATCGGAGAAAGTCCACCTCCTGAATGCACTCTGAAATACATATGTATTGGCCACGAGACAGACGTGTTCGCGCTTTTTTAATTTAAAATCGTTATTTCTATACATACATTTGTATAGGTGTATTGGCCGCACGCCAGACCCTACTTTGCCTATCAACTGAACGCCAGACCCTACATGGCATTTATTACGAACCCAGTCACATGCCAGACTCGACTTGGCCTCCGCATAGCCCGACGAGCAACTCTTTGAGAGGGGTATGAGAATAATGAATCAAAGAGAGGCACAGGGTGGAGTGAAGCAATTAGTCCACAACAAGTCCACTCAATTTAATTTTTAATGCACATTGATGTGCTCTCTTCCCACATGTCCCTGTCTTTCTCGCTCCCGCTTGTTCGACTTGGGGGCCTCCTCCCTCCTCTTTTCCATCTCCCTCTAACACTCGTTTGGCTGAGGCGCTTCCGTTGGTCCGTTGTCTTGATATTTATTTATTTTATTTCTCGTTTCTTTTGTTTTGCACATCTTTTTTGTGCGGTGACCTTGATAAATGTGCTTTGGGTGGTAAATGCTGCTGTGTCATGAACAGTGGGGCAACTTCCGTTTGGACTGCTTATATTTTCAGTTGGGATGCTCTTAAGTGATCAATCTGTGATCTGTGATGGATTCTGCACTGTTTCCCCATCATATCCCCAAGCGGCAACTGGATAACTATGGGTGTCTGCCGTCTACCGCTAGAGGGCCCGGCTATGAGCCTGCGCCCTTTTTGGAATATTCCAACAAATAAATAAATGAATATGGATACACGTCAGAACGTGACGTGACCCTGCGAATCGGGGCATCTGCTCCATTCTTATTCCGACGCTGACACAACCTGACCGAGTAGTCGCCTGCCAAAGCTTGTCGAGAATAGGCCTGATCTGGTCCGTTCCGAGTAATCAATTAATAAATGGACAACAAGACATTGGCCACTCCCATTACCGGGCCCATGCGCCTGGCACTGCTGGACAGGTCGAATCCCGTGTTCGCCTGCTACCTGGTCTGGATGAGTTTGCTGGTGCTGAAAATGCTGTGCATGTCGCTGCTCACAGCCCGCCAGCGGATGAGGACCAAGACCTTTGCTAATCCCGAGGATCTTCGCCTCCCCAAGCTCAGCGAGGTGCGATTCGGAGATGCCCATGTGGAGCGAGTGCGTCGGTAAGTAAAGGTAAGCTTCTCCGACTCCCCCCCAAAGTAATCGCATTTGACTGTATTGCAGTGCTCATCGGAACGATCTGGAGAATGTGCTGCCGTTTATGTTAATGTCCCTGGCCTATGTGGCCACTGGGCCGCATCCGATGGTTGCACGGCTGGTCATACGCATCGGGGCAAGTGCCAGAGTGCTGCATACCATGGTCTACGCTTTCGTCCCGGTTCCCCAGCCGGCCCGGGCCCTAGCATTCTTCACCACCTTTTTAATCACCTGCTTTGAGGCGATCTATGTGCTCGTCTGCTGTATCAAGTATATCTAGACGCAAATAGCCCGACGGGCCATTAAGTAGTGACCCCTTCCATCTCACCCCTCCCATGGCCACAGAAAACGATCCGCTCAACTATATATGATTCGACGCAATTCGTAGCCAGTTTGACCACTTCTATGCGGCCTGGCCTGTGATGAGTGGAGCTGTGAGCCGTCACTAGATGAGCAGTCGCTCTAGTCTGCTCCAATCGAACGCACCTCACCAAACGCTCACCTCCGATAGCTCCCAAGATGTCCACCAATAGCAGTACCATGCCGATGACGCCCCCCAAGGAGCTGTTCAACCTGGATAATCCTGTCTTCTGCTGCTATCTCTTTTGGGCCACGGTGCTGGTGGTCAAGATGCTGCTCATGTCGCTTTTGACTGCCGTGCAACGCTTCCGCTTCAAGGTAAGAGGGATCGCAGCGTTTCCCGCTGCAGTTGCTCAAGCATCATCGACTATTCACAGCTTCTGGGTCTGGTTCCATTGGGAATGAGGCGAAAGGTAAAGTCATCATAACATTCATAACCGGTTTGGGGATACGTGGTCGAACGTTCTGAAAACTAAGGGTGTCTGGTTCTCTGCCTTACAGATATTTCCCAACCAGGAAGACCTCTTCTTCAAGAACACGGAGGTTCAGTTTAATGATCCACATGTGGAGCGCGTACGCAGGTAGGTGCAGTCCAGTACAGTCACTCCCTCATCCATAATTTCCTCAATCGATCTACTGCAGAGCCCATCGCAACGACATGGAGAACATCTTGCCATATTTCATCATGGCCCTGATCTACATAAGCACCAATCCGGATGCAACAGTGGCCTGCAATCTGTTCCGAGTGGCCTCCTTGGCCCGCATAGTGCACACCCTGGTCTACGCCGTGTATCCTGTGCCGCAGCCATCCCGGATAATCGCCTTTGGCTGCATGCTTCTCATTACTTTTTACATGGCCGCAGTTGTCGCCTTGCGCACCCTTAGCTTTATCTGACTCTAGCGCATTCCTCTCCTCATCTCTCTGTATTAGACAAAAACTCATTCGGCATGAGCAGATTTGGCTCTTTCAATTAAATTACGACTATAATAATTATCATGAGATGCAACAGAAACAAACAGTGGGAAGGGGGGGCTGGGAGGATAGAGTTGTTTAGATGTTGAAGCCGGCGTCGCGCATGCACTTCTTATGCGCCTCAATCAATTCAGTGCAGTTCTCCTCGCCGCGCTCTACCATGCTGTTGAATGGAGAAGAGAGCTCATTAGAAGTGTTGCGTCATCATAGCAGCCTGTAGGCACATCTGCATAGGTGCACTCTGAACGCTTACCACTGGTCACGTGCCCGCTTGGTCTCGGGACAGGCGCAGCATGCCTTGCACTTGGGTTTGGCACCAGAGGCGGCATTTGTCGCGGCGACGGGTTCTGATGCAGCGGCTTGAGCGACTTCGACTCCCTTGGATGTGCTGCTGCCCATTGCTGAGGAAATTGTGTATGTCTGGACAGGCCTTGATACACTAGAGTGTGAATGGAGGCTTACTTTCGCTTTCGGTGTCCGTTGTTTATGTAATAAAACTTACGGTTCAAGATAGAGGCAGATATTTCACCACAATTGTGTTTGTCGCCGAATTCAAGTTCACGCACACTCAAACAGTTGAATAGAATGCTGAACAGCTGATGCATATCGATATCTACCTACCGATAGGTATGGTGCTCTGAAACAATCAGTATTGTAAAAGACCCAAACTCAATGGCAGCTACACTTGGTTTTAATTCGATTTAGCTAAATTATTAGGGTTCCACCATGTGATCTTTACGGCTCTTAGAATGTTTTTATATCAGGTAAAAAGGTATTTGCGTTTCTACAGCACCCATTAGCTGCTGCCAGTCGGCGTGTACTTGCTCGGCAGATATATAACATCCAAAACTAAATGTATTTATATTTTTTGTTTTATTTAACTAGTTTACTATGCCGTCTCCATCTTTTCATCCGTCTTACTGCTTTTAACCTCTTCTCCCTGCTTCTTTAAGCGTTGTAGCATGTTATGCGAGACAAGATCTAACTTTAAATGCTGAACACTCAGGGCACTGCCATCCCAATCCCGTAGCATTTTCAATTTGAGCGGATCGCACAGGTTCAGCAGCTCTGCATTGGAGAAAACCCAGTTAAAATGTTTCTTTAACACCATTAGAAAATGTTATGCTTGCCCATTCCGCCGCTCTGGTACTCGTTGCGCTCCTTTTCAAGTGTAATTGTAATGACGTCTTTGCGAGCCGCATGTTGGTTGGCGCGATGCTTCCCAATCGACTGCTTCAGGGCAATCTGCGCCAGTTCCTCGTCGAAGCGTTGCAAGTAGAGGGCTATCAGGTCCTCGAACTCCTGGGGACTGAGTGGAGCGGTACGTTCCTCTGCGATGTGGCCCAAGAACCAGGTCAGCTTTTCGCCCATGATGTTGCTTTTGATGGCATGGCCCAAGCGCACTTTATGTTTGTTGTTTTGACGACGCGCCTTCTTGCCCAGGGCCTTGGTCTTGCGACTATTTGGGTGTTTGCATTTCTCCAGCTCCTTGCGTAAGTTAGTCTGTGCAAGGGGAATATAATTATGATGATCTACTAAGATCTATTTCTAAGAAACTTGCCATTTTTATGCAGAAAGAACTGTGTTCACGTTTTATAGGGGTCAGTGTTGATAAGTGCTTGAAGAAAGGCACATGTACAATCGATCAGCTGGTGGTGGGGAAAACTGTTTAGCCCACCAAGGCAAAAGACTGTTTTAAATTAAAATTTAAAACAAAATTTGATTTTCAACGGATTTTAAAATTTTGCAGTGTGCAATGCAATTAACAGAAATTTAAATTCTTGTATAGAGATTTTGAATACATAAAAATGCTCTTATGCAGTTACATGTCCACCATCGATCGATCATCTATTATGCATATCTATTATCGATAGTGCCAGTGATAGGCCAGCTCTATCTAGAACCATCTGTTGTCTGTGTTGTCGCCAAAACACGATCAGCCAGGACAATTCTAATCATTTCCAGAATCCTTTATTCGCTCCCGAACGCAGCTAAATGGCAACACACCTGCTCCGAAATGGAGCTTCCAGCTGGCTTCTCAAGAACTATCTTTCCCGCCACCAAACAGTGAGTAGATCCAACCAGATTTCCACTTGTTGCTGCCGTCCTCTATTTTCCCTCCAGCGCCGCGCACACAAGATAGTGTTATGTAATCAACTCCGCATACTCACAACAGTGGCCCGAGCGAGAGGGCTATAGTGTGTTGTTTTACAAGTCATAATGCGTGCTGCACGTTTCTAAGTGGTGTTCGTATTTTTTTTTTACAGCTAAAGCGCTGCCTGCATGTGACTCCTAGCCTGGACAAGACTGTTTCCTTCAATCTGAGCGACATCGGCGAGGGCATCCGCGAAGTGACGGTTAAGGAGTGGTTTGTCAAGGTGGGCGACACCGTCGAGCAGTTTGACAATCTATGCGAGGTTCAGTCAGACAAAGCCTCGGTGACCATTACCAGTCGCTACGATGGCAAAATCACTAAAATCCACCACAGCATCGATGAGATCGCATTGGTGGGCAAGCCCCTGCTGGACTTTGATGTGCTCGACGAGGAGGGTGACGAGAATAGCACTGAATCCTCCTCTTCTTCCTCCGATAGCTCCTCCAGCGAAGCGGAGGCTGCCAAACCTTCAGCAGGCGAGGCTGTTTCCATTAATGGGGGCCGCGTCATCACCCCAGCCACTCCCGCTGTTCGTCGCCTGGCCAAGGAACATCAGCTGGACCTAGCCAATGTGCCGCCTACTGGCAAAAACGGACGCGTTCTCAAGGGCGATATACTGGAGTATCTGGGGCAGGTGCCTCCCGGCACAAATATCCCTCATCCTACTATTGCCGCTAAGCAGCAGTCTCAGGTAGCCAGAACGACTGCTGGTACAGCAGCTGGCATTCCCGCCGATCGTGTGGAGGTGCTAAAGGGTGTGCGCAAGGCCATGCTCAAGGCGATGACCGAATCCCTGGTGAGTGGAGGAGCCATCCCTTTCAATTCTTAAAGACAATGACATGATATACCCATACTTTCTCCCTGGTCAATAGAAAATTCCGCACTTTGCGTACAGCGATGAGATCGACATGTCCAATTTGGTGCAGTTCCGGGCCCAGCTGCAGGCAATGGCCAAGGAGAGCGGTGTGCCCAAGCTCACGTTCATGCCGTTCTGCATTAAGGCGGCCAGCATCGCTCTGACAAAGTATCCGATTGTTAACAGCTCTCTGGACCTGGCCAGCGAGTCACTTGTCTACAAGGGGGCACACAACATAAGCGTGGCCATCGACACGCCCCAGGGCCTGGTGGTGCCGAACATCAAGAATTGCCAATCGAAGAACATCATTGAGATAGCCAAGGACCTGAATGCTCTGGTGGAGCGAGGACGCACTGGCTCGCTGACACCCACGGACTTTGCCGACGGCACATTTTCCCTGTCCAACATTGGCATTGTGAGTAGGAGGTAGATTTCTCCAATGTATAAGGCTGTTGAATACTAAACTTTCTTACAGATTGGCGGCACCTATACGCATCCCTGCATTATGGCGCCCCAGGTTGCCATCGGTGCCATGGGCCGAACCAAGGCTGTGCCGCGCTTCAACGATAAGGACGAGGTGGTCAAGGCACAGATCATGAGCGTCAGCTGGTCGGCCGATCATCGTGTCATCGACGGCGTCACCATGGCCAGCTTCTCGAACGTTTGGAAGCAGTATCTGGAGCAGCCGGCTCTCTTCCTGCTGCACTAAATCTGGCTTCGGCCTCCGCTCCGACTTTGGTCTGACCAACGGATAAGGCTGTTTTGTTGCATTTATCTAGACAAATACGCATTTAATTCTGTTAATCATGAGTCCCATGGCCAGGAAAACGGGTGCCGCCGCTCTCCCCCAAAATGTGCATTTATAGGAGGCAGCTGCTCTGAGCGGCTCCTCGATAGCTTTAAGCTCCTGGCTGGCAAACGGCTGCCCTGGACCATGGGTTCTTTTTAAATTGTTGCCCGCTTTTAAGTCAATAGCCAATCTTAGTTTGTTAAGCTGCCTGTTTCCGTTTACAGTCAAACTGTACTATGTGCAATTATGCTAAAGCTTTTTTCAATAAAAATCCAATCGGTTTATGTAAATTCCTCGCAGTCTATTTGCATTCCAGCAACTAATTGGGTTTTATAGGGATTTTTTCCTTTACTATTAGCTCTATTTGTTTAACATTTTGCTGTACGAAGGTAACCTAACGCCTAAATGAGAATGACATAACTCGCTTAAACGTTGGCTCTTCTGGTAGACAATTTTAAACATATTTTATCCACTTGAAAGATGTTTTCTTTTGATTAGAGTATCGTTTTAATATGAAAATTCTTGTTAGGTTGTTAAATTTTTGTATTTATTTAAATAATGCTAATAGCTAGTTAAAACTAAATATTAACAAGTGTTGGAGCTATAGCTACTGAGGCCTTAAGCTCTAGGGTAATTGGGTTGATTTTATGTACAAAGGTGTTGGGATGAGTATTTACAGTATGCTCGGTTATATTTTGTGAAGGAGATTTGCCGTGACTAGGAATTTGAGGATAGTTTTGGAATTTGCGTTGATGGGGTTTGAGATCAGTTGCATGGGGTCTTTGTTATTGAACGATAAGGACCTTTGTGAGGAGAGTAAGGGGCAGGTGTATAGTATATGTATATAGTATATGTTTTGTCAATGTTGTGGGCGTTGGTCAGCTTGGTGTGGCCCAGTCTCAGTCTACGTTAAGTTGCTAAATTCTTGTCAACGGATCCATGATGGAATTATACAATGTATAATGTATACAATGTATACAATGTATAATTCCATCATGAACGGATCGGTACATTTGAAATATCGAATGTGTTCTTTGGTCGTATCAGCGCTGCCAACTGATCTCAAATTGCAAGAGGCTAATTTTCATATAGACATCATGTAGAAATGGCATTTAATCGATAATAGTGCTATGACGTTAGACTTTTCTAACTTTGCTGTAAAAAGAGAGACAGCATAGTTAGCAAATTTGGATCCAAGAAGTGTAACAATCGCGCATCTCTGCCGCAGCGCTGCTCCGAGTGCAGCTGAAAAGCCAAGTTGGCACATACATATATTTCTCTCTTTCTCACTGCATGATTCTCCCACAAGTCCATGTCGGTTTTTGCAACTAGTCAGTTAGCAAAGTTTTATGCTTTTATTTATATTTCAATTTTATTTTATATTCAATTGCCAATTTAATTTATAAGATTTGATGATACTTGGGATGTCGAGCAGCCCTTTTAACCTAAACTATCCTAACCTAGCTGTTTTCGTACTATAGGGTTACTACATATACATATAGGGCTTTTCGAAGTTTTTAAATAACAAAGTCATCCGATTTATTTCAGTCAGAAGTTTGTTCCTTGTTTTTTAGTTCATAAGTATAGTTCTGCTTGTGCGGTGTGAAATTTTTTTTTTTACAATTTTCACATTTAGAAGCGGCAGCAATCTGTGAAGCACAGATTTTCCGTGGTGCTACGATCGGCAATTTCTTAAAATTCAACCAGAAGTTCAAGCTTAGCGTCTGCAAGTGGTACGTAGTTGAAGTGTTCATTTGCCCTGTACATTTTTACATACATATACTGTGGTAACGCATATTTCAGATGATTCCATGAAATAGCACTGCTTGCAGTTTGCGCACCTACTAAAAGAAGGTCGTTGCTCAAAACACTGCAGGTCCATTCCATTTGAAATGGAAATACTCAGCCAGAGTTAGCTGCTTGCTGCTACTCTCAACAGATAATGGAATCCTCACCGATGGTTCTGTGAGTATTTGTGTACAAAGTATTTTTCAATTGATTGATCAACATCTTTGCTGGCTGAAGATCAATGGGACCACAGCCTCCAATGGAGCGCCAGCAAAAACCGATTCTTCTGTTACTTCGCATGCACCGCCACCACCCATCAAGAAGCGGATTACAATCTGAAGACCTTGACAGGAGGCAGGATGCTGGACTATAATTTCGACATTTATGTGAGCCATCTCATTACGATCATACCATTTGTCTTTAAGAACAACATTGTTCTTCACTGCTGCTGCTGGAGTGGTAACCTCAGCCAGTTGAAGCCTTGATCCTCAACTGGCTGGTGAAGCCACTGCAGCAGCAACAGTCCAGATTAATCTTGTTATTAAAGTCAAAGGTAGGATCGGAGCGAAGGGAAGTCTGGACTTTGAATATTTACTGATATTGTTTATATAAAGTAAAATTCGGACTCGGACTCATTTAAAAAAGAATTAAGTATAATCGAGAATGAGCTGTCCCACGCTACAACAGCCATCAATATTTTGTAACTATCGCTGGCATCTACATGAAAAATCAGATAGTCATTTAAGTGCGAAAAGATGTGGTGATTATCTTTATAGAAAATCGTTTTTCACAACAGCTTGTCTTTTGACTGTTTGCTTCTACACTATTTATATGATGACGTTATAAATGGTTGTCAAATTCGTTAAAAAAATTCGTCTTACATGCTTCACTGTGCGCCGGATGCAAATTCGATACTATCGACGATTTTGCTGTAATGGGATTTGCTTTAACATAATCTATGCTGAGCCCATGTTTTGCGGTTTGTTTGCAGCATACATTGGCATACAATTGGCAATTATATCGCTCCAGGAGCATGGGGCTTATGTGGATCCATTTCCCATGGAAACAGCAGCATAGTATCGATGGTCGTTCCAGTATCGGAGCTTATCTACATGCTACTATCCATTTCGCTACTACATCAATTATTACATCGGCCTTTCATTTTTGTTGCGTCTGTAGTATCTTTTCCTGTACAAAATTGTACAAATTATTATTATTTGTCTGTGATTTATCTCCCATCTCTTCGATGGTCGAAAAAAAACCAAAAACATTGTATGCACAATTCCAAACCTATCGATATTATTGAAAGTGGTGTCGATGATTTTGCAGCCTACAGACGCGCACATGCGCAGGCTGGAATTCTCCGAGAATCCAACAAGTGCGGCATGGAAATGGCAATGGATGTGCGGCTCATGCTCGCACACTCGCGCACACTTTCCAGCCGACATCAGCAGTGGAGGAATTTCAACATTCGGCGGGGAAATAGAATAGCCAAACCAACACCACCACACCACACAAGCTCTGGTTGTGGGCGAAGAGGGGGCGTGTGGTGTGTGGCTGGTTCGGTTGGTTGGCACTGGCGTCCTTTCCGGACTGTCAGTCACACCACGACCAGCGCAGTCAGCACACACGACAAGCTGAATTCACGGCTCTGTGCCAGCGACGTGCGAAGAAAAGCCAAAGGAAAAAGGAGAGAAAATAACAGCTACTCTAATTTGTTCATCTGCTTTGTATTTTTTTGCTGTTCAGTGATACCATAGAGAGCAGAAAGTTAATTATTCTCAAAGTGGTACATATTGCTAATATTTCTGCAGTTGCTGTTTGGGCTGCTCATCTGGTGCTGCCATCTCGCAATGTAAACAGAATGCAACAGCAACCAATCATCACCCATTTTCAATAATTAAAAGTTGGGAAAACAATAATTAGTTAATAAAATAAAGAGGTAAGTTATGGAATTTCATTTTATACGCATACATACACGCTTGGCCTGCCGCAGCATTGTGTCTGTATGTAAATGTATGTATGTAGGCGTGTATAGAACAAGAAACGGTATTTTTGTTGGTGCTGCGCTGGTTCTGAGCTGCTTTTCTGCTCTCTTCCCCTTCTCTGCTTTGCTTTTTCTGCTGTTTATTTGTGTGCTCGAGAGCGTGTGTGTATTTTTTTTGTGCTTAACGATTTTCCAGTGACCTTGTTGCGTACGCAAGAGCGTACAAATTTGTGCATGTGTGTGTGTGTGTGAGTGCTGCTGCTGCTTAGCCTTGTACTCCCACCCATCGCCGCCTCAAGCTGAATCCACATTCTGCTTTTGCCTTCCTCTTTCCACACACACACAGAGAGAGATTGTATGTATTTCCCTTCTGCGCATATACATTTTTGGGGCCGACATTTTCGTAGCATAGCTTGGAGCGCAATAGGAATTTATGCGGGAGCTTCGAGAGCTCCGATATCCCAGGAATTTTCACTTGGCATATTGCTTGCTCCCTGAATTGGAATGTGTATGTGCATAAAGCAGATAGAACGAGGAGTGGGAGTGGAAGTGGGAGTGGAAGTGGGTGAGTGTGTGGCCGGATTGATAAGACCAACCTTTTGTGGCCTTGATGATACGGCCTGACTGCGAGTGGTGTGCAATGCCGTTGGTTAATGATGATTATGATGTGGCTGGACACCAGTGGCCAGGTGGGGGCCAGGGAATGCAATTGCCGAGCCCTTTATTGATTTTATGATACCACCAGGCCGGAGGCACGTGCAGGGGCAACAACAAGTCATTCACACCACATGCAGAACGGATAAGGACTTGGGCAGAGGAATGGAATGGAACAGAATGGAAGCTATGACACTAAATGGAAATTGCAAAGCAAAGCAGACAGCGAAACTGACTGACTGGCTGACTGACAGAAAGACAGACACACAGACACACAGGCACACAGACAGACAGACTGCCAGTCATGGCCGCCCACTGAAGAGCCTGTGTCCGCTTCGCTTCGCTCCCCTCCCCTCGCCCCAACTCTAAGTGGCCCGAGTGATGACAGCAGAGAGCCGCTTGCAAAGCAGATGCCTTCCCGTCTCCTCGGTCTTGGCTCCTTTCCCCTTTCATCGCGGCACACGTACATAATTCAGACAAGAAATTCCACTGCACACTTAGGGCGCTCTGCACGAGCTGACTGAAAGATCCGTGGGTTTCTTAGCCACACCGCATGATGCGCTTCCCCGGCTTTCCTTACACTCCTTCCTTCTCACTTCACTTGTCTCATGCTCGTACTACATAGTCTTTGTGTTCTTCAATACATTTGCAGTAATGGTGAAGGAGGTGCTTTTCACGATCTGCACACTGCATTCTTGCATTTCTCTGGCGTTGTTCGTCGTGGAATCATTTGTGGCATGTTTTGTCGTCCTCCTTCATTTAAGTTTGATTGTTACGTACAAGAGGCGATGTAATCCACCAGCTCTAAAGGACGGAAGCCTTAGCTAAGCTGAGTTTCTCCTGTCGCTTCCTGGTCACTTAGAGGATTTCTTTGTGTGAGCACCATTTGGGGCATCGCTTCTTGGCAGTCTTGCGTGCGCATTGCGCAACAAGGAGAGGTTTGTCCGCTGTTTCCTGGTCGCTTGAGAGGATTTTCTTTTATACTCGTAAATACATACTTCTAAGCGATTTAACGCTTAATCACTGACCAGTTCAAAGTGGAATGTGCCTTGTTACAGATATGCTAACTTTTATTGGGGATGCAGCTCATGCTCATGCTCATACTCGATCTCAGATCTCACTTAAGTAGCTGGGCAATTTCCTGGGGCAACAGATACAGTCGACTCGACTGCCCTCCCCATCGAGAGCAGACGGCAGAGGGCAGTCCAAGCGTCACATCTCCAGCTCCAAGGATGATTTCATAATACGCGTACGCAAAGTGCGCACTGCTGTACGACGTTGACAGTTTTTCGGTTAATGACAGTTTCGCTTTCTGTTTGCTATTTATAACTCCGACCAGAGTGGGTCGGCGGTCGGCGGTCGGCGAAAGTGTGAGCGAGTGAGCGAGTGACAGCCATCACAACCACAACGACATCCATGCTGATGTCATTCCGCGGGGATCCGCGTGCGGAGTCTGCGGTCTGCTGGGGTCCTTTAAGTGGACTCCCTCGGACGTACATATATGTACACGTATATTTTCTCGAAAAATAGCCCTACTTGTGGGCGGTCGCGTAGGGGTGGGTTGCGGGGTACTGCAGTAACTGCTGTATGGCTGCAGCCTTGACATGATTCACCCTGTCATGTTTTAGCTATTGTGGCAGCTGTGTGGGAGGCGAGGCTGGTTGTTCGAGTGGCTGTCCGGCTCGTCGGGGCTCTGTGTATGCGCTGGTTGACCAGGAGGCTGCGTTTTTACCTCCTCCCAGCATAATGAAGCTTGTCAGCTGCACGGTTCACGGTTCACGCTGTATTCGTCCCTCCACTTGACGGCGTGTCATCCGTGATGAATGCGCTGATGATGTGGATGTGGATGTTGATGTTGATTTTGACTTTGGTTCGCGTTTTGCTCTCTTTTTGCTTTCCCCGTTGGCGGTGGCCTTGAGGAAAAGTTCCACCCAGCAATTGCTGGGTGTTTCGCACGCCAAACGTCACCCTTGCATTCCCCTGCCACAATACCCCAAACCGAAACCCAAACCCTTTGCCATAGCCATAGCCATTCCCACACCCACTCCCACTGCCACTCCCACTCGACTGACGTCAATGGAATTTGCAATTTCTGATTGGGCGCTTTAAAGTATTTCAGCTTTGACATTCAATTTTCCCAGCTGAGCCCCAATCCGCTTTGTTTGCTGCTCGACGGTCTTCCAGGCGTCCTTCGGCAGCCCCATCCTGTCATCCGCTCTCTCCTTCGACCTCCTCGTTTGGTTGCGCCTGCGGCAAGGTCAGCAGCCAACAAAGAGCAGGCCACTGACTTGACTTGACTGAGCCTTGGACGGAGCATCCTTGACGGAGTATGGGAGTTTGTTGTATGGTTGCTTTAGGGAATGGAATCATTTGATTGGACATTCCATTCCATTTCCATTCAACGAATCTTTAAGAGTGCGAATCAAATGATAATCTGATAGTGCAGGCTCGGAACTTTTTATTATTCTTCTTATTATTATTGTTAAAAGGACTTATCGAACTTGAATTATGTGGAAGATCTCTTTATGCTTAGGCTTTAAAGTGCCTCATTAGCGATTTGGCGGGTCTTGTTGTCCCCAAATGCAGTGCAGGGCCTTCACATAGGATGTGTTCCGATGTTTCCTGCTCTATTTCAAGGATATACAGATGTCTGTCAGATATCTATTTAAAGTTTTTTATTTAAAATTATTCAAGCTAAGACGTCGCATCGACCTCTATTCTCTGGCTACTCAGGGTTGACAAATTCCTGGGCATGCCATTGGCCCACACTGTCGTTTCAGTACTTGACATTCTATTGCTCCATAATGTCCGAATGTCGTCCCAATGGGAGCCCACAGAACTGTTTGGGAGTCATTACATTCTATTAGTTTCAATAGCGCTTGGGATTAGGTTCCTTTTTTGAGTTCCAGCCCATTTGAATGTATGCGTGCACACGTATTATCACGCATATGAGCTGTAAGCTTTACCTTCGAATTTTTTAGAGTATTGTGACACTTTTTGAAGAAACTTGCCCCACATGATCAGAAGAATTGTTATATCGATCCAGATAGTACCAATGGCTTCGTTTTAGTATCGTTGGAAACGTTGGAAAATGCAGTTTCCTACGTAGATACGAATATGTCTACATAGGTCAGTCCTTAACGAATAGAAAAGGTATGGTTAGGGATTTTAGTTGCTTCGAATGGAGAGCATAAGCACAGAATGGCCCCAATGGAGGTCAGGGGGTGGGTCACACCCCAATCCTGGAACACTATGCAATTAATTACAACAGAATTACAGCATGCGTATTAGCTCTCTCCTTTAATAGGTTGTGTCGGGCTGTCGATGTCCCCTCAAGGATTCTATAGGTGGCCATTCGCTTTCTTAGGAGAGTGGCCTTGGCTTTAATGGCGGCAGCAGTCGTTGCGGCACTTTTATGAGCTTTGATGTAGTCTGTAGCTTTATGCACTTACCCTCTCGTTCTTTTGCAGCGAGGATGTCGGACCAGCAGCGAGCCTCACTCTGCCCCCGCCTGGTCGACTACATGGCCATTGTGGGTGCACACACAACGCCGCCGATGCCCAAGGGACTGCAGGGTCTCAAGGCCCCGCCGGTGCAGGTAAGCTGGGAATACTCCTTGAGTCCTTGAGTGTACCGCTAATGGAATTCAATTGTGTGTTTGCGACAGGTTCCCGACTTGCTTCGCCGCTATCCGCCCTCGGACCACGCGGACTTCCCCCTGCCTCTGGACATGGTGTACTTCTGCCAGCCGGAGGGCTGCACCAGCGTGGGACCGCGACGCACGGGCTCGGCCATCCGCGACATGACTTCGTTCGTGTTCGCTCTGACGGACAAGGACTCGGGGAAAACGCGCTACGGCATCTGTGTGAACTTCTACCGGCCCATCGAGCGGCCCAGCACTGTGGCGGGGTCGGCGGCGGCAGGCAACGAGCGACAGGGGAGCGGTGGCCATGCAGCTGGAGGATCGGGAAACGGAGGCCCTGGAGGAGCTGGCAGCGGACGGGGCGGACGACGCTCGTCCGCTTTCCGGCGGGAGTCGTGGCGCAAGAGCATGGAGCGCAGCTCGGACTCGGCGTTTAGCAGGCAAGTGTTGTGTGCTTGGCGCTTGGTGGTGACCGGGCCAGGGATTGTCGCTCAGCTACTTCTCAGTCTAATAGATTTCAAACCATTTCCATAATAGTTACGGCCTCTTAACTACTTCTAGCGACTACAGAAGTAACGTAGCGCCCAGCGACTCGGATCGTGAACTCACCTCGCGTCGCGACTCTGATCAGCAGCGCCTCCATACGCACCACCACCAGCAGCAGCAGCACCACCACCACCAACAACAGTCTGGCAGCGGGCAACAGCCGCCCACATCGGTGCCAAAACTCGGTCTGATGGCCCCATCTGCGGATTCGGAGTCGGGCGGCAGCCACTCGCCGTCGCCGCGCGCCTCCCGCAAGCGGACTAAGCTGCGCAACCAGTCGCTTACCTCGCTGTGCATCATCTCGCACCACCCGTTTTTCACGACCTTCCGCGAGTGCCTCTTTATCCTCAAGAAGTTAATTGATGCTTGCAACGAGTCCTCCTCCCCGAAGCGTGTCGGAGCCTCGCAGAAGCTCAATCGGGACAACGTGTGGACGGTGCTGACGGGTCACGTCAGCGAGGCGACGCCCTCAATCGTTCTGCATGATGTGCGCGAGATCGAGACCTGGATATTGCGCCTGCTCTCCACCCCAGTTCCAGTGCCTGGGTCCACGCGCGTGGAGGTACGTTGAGCCTCTTCTGTTCCTCCGGTTTGTCTGATTAACTGATATCTTGTTTCCTTTGTCAGGTGGAGGTGCTTTCGCCCACGGTTCATGAGCCCTTACTGTTCGCCCTGCCCGATCACACGCGCTTCTCGCTGGTGGACTTCCCTCTGCATCTACCGCTGGAACTGCTCGGGGTGGAGACCTGTCTGAAGGTGTGGACCCTGATCATGCAAGAGAACAAGGTGCTCTTCCAGTCGCGCGACTACAATGCCCTCTCTATGTCGGTGATGGCCTTCGTCACCATGCTTTACCCCCTGGAGTACATGTTCCCGGTCATTCCTCTCCTACCCACCTGCCTCAGCTGTGCCGAGCAGTTGCTGCTGGCCCCCACACCCTTTGTCATTGGAGTGCCGGCCTCGTTTCTAGTGTACAAGAAAAACTTTAGGTGAGTGCCAGCCCATATCCACCTCCATCCAAGGGATGGAAAGGATCTTTAACTGTTTTAACTGTCGTTTCGTTTACATGCCAGGCTGCCCGATGACATTTGGGTAGTGGATCTGGACTCCACGAAGCTGTCTCCGCCCACCGGCGGTTACGAGGAGATACCGCCGCTGCCAGAGCCCGAGGGCACCATCCTTAAAAACCACCTAAAGCAGGTGAGGGCCCTGCTCAATCATTACCATCCCTATCCTTCTCCTTTTCAACTTTGTATATATTATATTTGGGCGGATTATTTCTAATCAAATGAAGGATTGAGGTTGGGTTGGGTTTGGTTTACATTCCGGTACACATTTGAATTTGGCAGCTCATCGACTGAATATTTCGAGAGGGAATCGATCCAGGTTTCAGAGTCTCAGAGCTGGTGGTCTAGGCTCTGCTTCGAGGCGCTTACCAGCTGCTGGCACTGATCGAAGAGCTCCAGATCCAGCTGCCTCAGCTGCTGCTGGTCGGTCTCCAGGAGGCGCTGCAGCCTATCCACCTCGTTGCGCATCTTAAAGACAATGCCTGGGAGCATGGCCTGTGTCTTTTTCAGAACCCGCTCTTGTACCATCAGGCTGCGCTCGTTGAGGCCCTCGCGCCGAAAACGCTCCAGACGCTGTTCTTCCAGTTCCCGTTCCCGGTCATAGTGTATCTTTTGGTCCAGCAAGTGTTCGAGCAGGGACCGGTAGACGACTAGTTGCTCGAGACGGGGGTCGGACCCACTGTAGTATGTGGTAGGGCGCTGGTTGGATTCGAGCTTAGGCTTGGGCTTGGCTTGGGGGCGATTATCGTTGGCTTGTGGCTTGGTTATACGGGGACAGTACATGGCACTGCTATGGAACCGGACACTGTACACAAACTGGACCTGATGTGGAAAATGAACAGAAAATCCGAGCGAGCCTGATCCCCATCTGAAACTGAAACTGAATCAAACCAGCCTCAGTCCTTTCGGTTGAAGGAGTATTCCACTTGATGTGATATTTATTTTATGCCACAGTCAAATCACTACCACAAATACTCGTGATAGCCGCTGGGTTTTCTTGTGTGTCTAGGCAATACTCGATGAAAATGTGCCTGCTCCCTTGATCCCTTGACATCATGATACCTTGAGCTCTGGGAGCAGGCACATGCAACATGGCACGGCTGTGGGCCATCATATCCGCAGTAATCGTTATCGCTCTCATAATCGTTATCGTTTCTGCATTCAAATTCAAATATACTACAATATATATGTGTATAGATGTGTACATCTCTTGTCTGTGTGCGGAATAACAGAATAACAGAGCATCCCCAGTGCGATTATTTATCCCCATACCCCCCATAACACTCCCTATACAATATACAACTCTCTATCTACCTACATATCTATAATTTCATTCTCTCTCTCTCTCTCTCTATCTCTCTCTGTCTCTTCCTTTGTGTTTATCCGCCTCTTTATTATCCACCTGACTATCGATGTATACCCCATCTACATATATGTCTATTGTCTCTGCTCCTATGCTCTATGCTCTGCTCTACTGTTGACACTCATGCATTATCTGTTATATAAAACTTGTTAAACTCGATATCACAACTTTAACTACAACTACAACTCGAAAACGAAAAACTCCAACAACTACAACCACAACCACATCTGCAGGCTATGCTACTGATGGATGAAGCTGGACTTGGTGTAAATATCGTTCACATAAATGTTAAATATGTTCGGTTTATCGTTTGTCGTTATCGTTTCCCGTTATACGTTATCCGTTATTCGCTATTTTTTCTTGTTTTCCTCAGTTCGATATACTATTTTGTACATACTAAGCATCAACCATTTATAAAATACAACATATCTACATCCCATATGTACGATCTAAGGCTAAGAAGAACATACATACATACATCACAGCTGTAGAACTAACCTAACTAAGCATGCATATCGTACAGTCACAACACATAGAACATAAATATAACGAAATACTCGTATAATAGATGTTCGTTTGTAGATAGAACTGCAGAACTAGAATGGGTTCCGACAATTAGGCTATGTTTCCTAGCCTCAGGGTAGGACGTGAGTCTCACATCCTCTCCACTTCCAATGGATCTTAATAAGTAGATCAAAGCTTCATCTATCTATTTGTCTACATATCTCCTGATATATGTACATATCTCCTGATATATGTACATATCTCACTATGGTCGTCCCTCTCTTTACTGTTCTTTCATGTTCTGCGTGCATGCCCTGTCAGCCCTTTCTCTCTCTCTATCTCTCTCTCGCTCTATACCTAACTAACGTAGCTTAAACTCAGCTCCTTAAGAGCATTCTTCTAGACCATACCCTACCCCTCTCATAGCTAGTCAAGTTGACGTCGACATTTAGAGTGTAAGTGCTAGGGTCCCTCGCACTAATTAGTTTATTTGAACTCCTTCACAGGCACTCACCTCAATGACGGCCACCAACCAGGCCGTGTCCTCGCAGCAGCTCCTACCCTCGGTGAGAGACAGTCTCCAGGAGCCGCCATTGCTCGGGTAAGTCTACGTTAGCGCAATTCCATTAGAAATGCATTCACATTCGTGTCTGATAGTGGTTCCTCTGTTTCCGCTTTCAAGCTGTTCGTTCTACAATTTTCGAATTCGAATTTGCGATCTGTATTCAATAATACTCATCGGTATTTTTTTGGTATTTGTTCATAAACAATCCCAAATCGCTCGTAGTGCGTTCTCCTCTGATTGTACCATTCAATTCGTTTGCTTATGGGAAACTAGTTAGAACAGCAAATCAATGTTCAGTGGAACTCCATTATGCCTACACAGGATTATTCGAGATTGATCGAAATATCTTAGAAATACCAAAAACTTGTATCCTTTCCTTGAAGCCAGATCATATACATGTATATGTATATGTTTTCGACAACCCGGACTCCACATTTACGAATGGGATTTCTCCGTTGTTAGATTTGAATTTAAGGCTTTATTGTTCGATGTTTAGTGTACAAAATTAGAGGGTGTTGCCGTGAACTATGAGCTGGCCTGAGAGCAGGAAGAGATAAGAGCGACTACAGATAATTGAAGCTAACTCGGATAGATGTTGTTAGAAGAAATGATAGAAACATCTTAAATATCATAAAAGCTTTTAGAGGCTGCTGCTCTGAACAGATATTACCACCAGGCACACAGCTCGATCGATAATTCCAGAGTCCAGTCACAGTATGATAAATGGAGTAAACGTGTTCCATCTGAATCTGGCATATCCTGGCGAATAAACATACTTGAGTAGCAGTTGAGAAAGATAGAAATATTAGCAACTGAGAGACGAGCAGGATTGCTTCCAAGACAATACATAATTACCTTCTGTGTACCTTTTTTAGGGTTTCTCAGATGCGTCTGCCACTTCAGACGCCCCCCCACTCGGCCCAGGCCAGCCAAAGGAACTCGGTGTCCGCGCAGGGGGCAATGATCAGCTCCCGACAGCCCAGTCCAATGAACTCGCCGGCCCTCAACCCATTTGTATACGGCACGGACGTGGACTCGGTGGACGTGGCCACGCGGGTGGCCATGGTGCGATTTTTCAACGCCCAGAACACTCTGGCCAATTTCGCCGAGCACACGCGTACCCTGCGTCTGTATCCGCGTCCTGTGGTGGCCTTCCAGATCAACAGCTTCCTTAGGTCGCGGCCGAGGGCTTCGCAGTTTTTAAACCAGTTTGCGCGGACACAGGCTGTGGAGTTCCTGGCAGAGTGGTCTCTGACACCGACGAATGTGGCCTTCCTGCGGGTACAGACGGGCGTCATGGACCCCATGCAGGTGGGGGATAAGCCCAAGTGGTTTGCCCACTCGCTCACGCCCATTCGCTTCTCGGTGTGGGATGATGGAAGCTCGCTGAACGGCGCCCTGCGCTCCCTAAAGCAGCTCGAGTGCCAGCCCACGGACGAGAGCGGCTCGGACTCGGAGGGGGCGGATAGCAGCAGCTCGTCGTACTCGTCCCTGAGCGACTTTGTCTCGGAGATGGCCTCCTCGGACCTGTCGCCCAGTGTGCATGACGTCTTCGGTTCATACAATCGACCCCATGTGGTGCCCCAGACGCTCTCCTCGAACCTGGATCCGGCTTTGGTCTATCATCCTCCCAGCAAGCTTCAGTATCCCGAGGGCCTGTGCGAAGCGGCTGCCAGCAAGGAGGAGGATGAGGAGCGCGCCGACTCTCCAGTCTCCTCCTCTTCCAGCCGCTCGGATCTGAGCTCGCCCAGTTTCAACCGCGACTCTGAGTTTGACTTCCAGCCGAAGTCGGGACAAGCGCAGACGCAGACCCAGACGCAGGCGGGACAGGCGGCCTTTGAGCTGGCCACGCCGCTGGCCATGCGTCTGGAGGCCACCATCAAGATGGCCAGCGTCGAACAGGACACGGACACAGGCTCCACGGTAGCTGGCAAGAACATAGCCGCAAGTGCCAAGCTTCAACGCCACCCCAGCGACGTGGAACGTCCTGAGAAGAAAATACCAGTAAGGATAGCCTTCATCCCCTGAATCTCCGAAGAGAAGTGCAAAATGCGCTAATTATACCCCATTGCAGCCGCCTCTGACGCCGCCCGTGAAGCAGCCGAGCGTCAGCAATATCCTGGCCCGCACCGGCAGCTCGGGATCCAGTTCCAGCAGCCCCGGACGCCAGAGCTCTCAGAGTTCGCTATTCGAGAACTTTGCCTCGCATGCCAAGGAGCTGGTACGTGAGACCACGCGCCAGAGCAGCCAGGAGGGACTCCTCGCTCACGTGGATAAGGTGAGCTCAGGTTCTGGCTGTGGTGCCTTGCCAGACAAATCTCCTCCAAATCAGTGAGGGACTGATTCGATGTGCTATTGTGTCGTGGTCTTTGATCTGTTCATTTTTCTTTCTTTCCTTTCTGTGGTTGACTCTTCTGTTCGTTTTCCGTTTGCTTCCGTTTTACGTCACGTTTCCTTTGGCGCTATTGCGTTGGTTGAAATGAATATTGCACATTCCATGTGTCTACTGTAATGTACTGTAGCATGCGCTGGACGAAGATCTTGACGACAAAATGCGTCATACCTTCGAAAAGGTTGGTACTCCCCCGCAGCCCCAAAAACAGACCGAAAGAGTCAGACTTTCGCACAGCATTCAGTATGATATACCGCACCCATTAAAACACCACATAAACGCCCTATATAATACTCGCCTCATATTGAATATACTCGTTAAATACTACCTGCTACATAGCGGTAATATTCACCACCATACCAACAGATACCACCACCTCCACACATTTCACATCCCACATAAGCCCAGACCACTATATGTGGTGCAGTGTCCATACCCATTTGATTTCGCCACGAATTATCCCCAGTTGCTCTTAGTGCCATCGTAGATGCCTGAACGTAGATCATGTGCAGGGGACTAGAGCTTTTCTTTGATTGCGTTGAGTGCTTCTCGAGCTTGTATAGTTGTCTTTGGAGATTCGATTCGATTCGCTTCACTAATCCACTTCCCATACGATGATTCACAGTTCACGCTGCATGCAAAGAAGGCGGCCGGCGAGGCGTCTAAGCAGGCGCTGGAGGTGTCCAAGCAGGCGGCTGGCGTGAGCAAAAATACCTTTGAGGACCTCACCTATGTGGGCAAATCCACGCTGGGCGATCTAACCAAGACTGCCAAAGAGGCGGCCACCAAGAAGGGCATTATTAAGAACGAGGAGCAAACCGGAGGCTCTATGCCGCCTGGCGGCGGCAGCTCCAAGCCCCCCGGTTCCCAGATCGCCACCCAAAGGCAGGTGCAGCAGATTCCCGGTGGCGGAGGCGGTGGGGGTGGCAACAATTTTTTCTCATCGATTGGCAACGACTTCAACGGCCTAGCCTCCTCCACATCGACCATGTTTTCGGGCATGTTTGGGGGCAAAAGTAAGCTTACAGCATTTAAAGATATTAGAGCCTCTTATAACCCCTTCTTCCACTCCGCTCCACCTATAGAGAACCAACAGAAGCAGGGTGCAGTCCAACAAAGACCTTCCAGTGCCGGCTTAGGGAAGGGGAAGTCGGGCATCAACTTTGATCCGTTTCCCAGCCGCAAGGGTCTTGTAGAGCGGACACCGCTGATCAAGCACTCTGGGCCCCGTCAGACGCAGGAGGAGCTCACGCGGCAGCAGAACCAGGAGCGTTCGCACAGCAATGCTGAGAATCAGGCCTTCCTCAAGGATGTGACCAATCAGGTGCTGGCCGGCGAGGGTGTGGGCTGGCTGAAGCTCAATCGCTTCAGAAAACTCATGGAAGATGAATCCTATCGCACGCTGGTGCTTAGCAAGCTGAACAAGACACTGGACAGGAAGATAGCGCCCGATGATCACATTGATGATGTGGTAAGTCGATCTCCATTCACCGATATCGGAGCGCAATGAGTCGTAGCTAATCTGTCCTCTATTTCAGTGTGTGACCAAACCCGTGTGGAAGGGAATGCTAAAGTGCGTGCAGGCAATAGCCTCCGGCCTTGATGTCACCTTTGGGAACTTCGGTCTTGGAGGAATGGCCTCGGTGTTTCAGCTGATGGAGGTGGCCCATACGCACTACTGGAGCAAGGAGATCAATGACGGCAGCGACATGTCTTCCAGTCTGCTCTCCAGCCACGCTGCCAGTCCCCTGGGCAGCCGCGAGAATCTGCGCTCCCCCAGTTCCCCCAACGGCTCGCACTCGGGCCTGGGCAGCGAATGGGCTTCGCCCCAGGAGTCGCGCAAGAGTTCCACCCACCACGCGGCCTTGCCTTCGTCTCAGGCTGGTGGAACTCCTTTGGCCGCATCGCGACGCCTGTCGGCAGCAGACAGCCAGGATGGCCAGTCGACAACGGAGATGTTCAAGGACATGTTGTCCCAGAAGAGAAGTGCCTTGAAGAACATGCTCACCTCGTTCGACTCGGATGTGAGTAGGGTCCATGTAGTGTCCCAGTGTCCATCCATAGACCATTCCATCGAATCTTTCATCAGCCTTTAGCTTTTCGCCAATCTAGTATACGTTACACATCAGCTTATTATCCATGCAAAACTGTACATCGCTCGGTGTATATATCGTATAGTATATCGTAGAACTGCTTAACCGCATACCCAGTACATATGTAGCTATGCCAGTATATATCCATGTCCATATATATACGTATCTGTATACTTATATATACATATATATATCTCGCACTTCTCGCGGTTTCTACGGAATGTAGGCTTGCCTTGCGACTCCCAGTCCCCCGTCCTGTTCCGCTCCGCTCCTCTCCGTACCCAATTGTATTCGCACTAAATCTTGCGTGTTATGTCAATCCGTAGGCTGCTGGCTCTACGGGCGCGCTCTCTGTGGTCAGCGATCTGCTCCCAATCGGCAGTCTGAGCGTGCGCATGCCCTCCAGCTGCCGGTCCACGGTCTCAGACACCGAGTACGAAAATGTAAGTAATCCGAATACATACATAGGTTCCCGGCCTGAGGTTTCGCCCTCTGAACCGATCTGAACTGATCTGACCCAGGCCCCAGACCCCATGTCAATCAGTCAATCAATGGTGTGCTCCGATATTTGAGTGGTTTTCCATCCCTCACACTGGAAAGCTGCCTCGCGTTTCTCTTTCTTCCACAGCCCACAGCTTCCCAGCCCACAGCCCACAGCCCACGCCCTTTGGCCCAACAGGCCAAAAAAAAAAACCTACAGCCACCTGACATAATCTTTAAACATTTCACAGACCACAACGTCGAAGGACTCGAAGAAGAGCGGGGGAAATCTGTGGTCGGGCAAGTCAACGCTTAGTGCCGGCTTCCGCTATACGGGCGGCCATCTGATCAACACCTCCTCATCCCCTTCGCCAGACAGTCCGAGAGTCTACCTATTCGAGGGGTTGCTGGGCAAGGATCGCTTGAATCTCTGGAACCAAATGCAGTTCTGGGAGGATGCTTTCCTCGATGCTGTCAGCCAGGAACGCGACATGATTGGCATGGATCAGGTGAGATCGGGAATTGTCGGGAGTAATCGGAAGGCGCTTTTCCTCAATACGATATCATATTACATATATCGCTCTACGCAGGGTCCCATTGAGATGATGGAGCGCTACAAGTCGCTGAGTGAATCGGAGCGCAAGCGTCTCGAGCACGACGAGGATCGTCTACTCTCCACGATGCTGTACAACCTGACGGCCATCCTTGTGATGCTCAATGTGGGAAAGGACGAGATTCGACGCAAGATCCGTCGCCTGCTGGGTAAAAGTCACATTGGACTGGTCTACTCCCAGGAGGTACACAATGTTGTCGATCAAATCAATAATTTGGTAAGCCTGCAGGTGGAAATTGAATACCAAAAGGCCTTCATCCTTCAAAAATCTACTTCCTACTCAGAATGGAAATGACATTGACCTGAAGCCACTGGGTTCAAGGCTGCTGCATCGACAGAGCTTCACCGTCCACCAGGGCACCGATATAAATGGGCCACTGCGCTTCATGGAGGTGCGCGACGATGGTCTGGTGTTGCGCTCTGTGGACGGCACCATTGTGGAGCGCTGGTGGTACGAGCGACTGGTCAACATGACCTACTCACCCAAGACTAAGCTGCTGTGCCTCTGGCGACGCAACGGCGGCCAGACCCAGTTGCATAAGTACTACACGAGAAAGGTGAGTCTGAAGTCCGACTCGGTGGATTCGAATCTGAAGTGTTTTTTTCCTCAGTGCAAGGAACTGTACAACTGCATCAAAGATGCCATGGAGCGAGGTGGAACGCCCACCAATGTGCCCGAGCTGGGCGGGGAGTTCCCCGTGCAGGACATGAATACTGGCGAGGGTGGCCTTTTGCAGGTCTGCCTCGAGGGTGTCGGTTTGTTGTTCTCCAACAGCAAGGTAAGTGCTCTTCCAACTCGATATAGATATCGATCTCGATCCACACACTCACTCACACCCACTCAGAAACGCACACATGGCCACACCGAACTCCTACTCAGTGAATCCACACGCGACACAGACACCCAACCACCCCACATCCATCTAAGTCCCGCCCCTAGATATCCGATATCCGAACTCTCCGCTAGCTACTCTTTCTATGTCAATCACTCCGCATCTACGTACCCCCGACCAGACCCAAGAATTTTCTCCCCCAAGAACCTGTAAAAGACACACCTAACCCTAACCCCGAATCAATACTCATATGAAAGCGCCTCTACAGACACTGTGTACCGGAACATGGTGTTGTCTGTGTCAACAGTCAGCGTCCATCAGGCCATTTACCAGTCAATGGGTTAGGGTTAACGGGCCGAATCAAGAAGCATGAAAACCCCTAAGCCATTTAATAATCTCGCATAAGACTTAAACTAAGACTTGGGACATCGTTGGGGTTCGTTGGCTCCATGGTGTAGTCGAAGTCAGGGTCAACATACACCATTGAACAGGCCAAGAACCCGACTGAAGCCTAAGCGAAAGCTGTTTAGGGACACAGCTAACGCTCCTGCTAGTGTCGCTGTTCCTCTCACTCGCGAACTACAGTACAAACTCCACATGCAGGATATATGTATGTACATACCCGCGGACTCATATTGGGCGTCCATTTTTCCCACTGCCTTCGTTTCAGTGTCTCGTTTCCAAACGTTTGTTTCGTTTCTGTTTCTGTTTCAGTTTCCGTTTCCGTTTTTCTTCCTATTGTTTCCCCTTTCGTTTAACGTTCAGTTCTTCGATTTCCGATGATTTCCCTGTTGTGTGTGTGTTTCGTCAATTTCCATGCAAGGACTGCATTAAAATCAAGGACCTTCTCAATATATGTATGTTCATATGTATATATACATCAATATGTATTTATATATACATATATATATATATATATATATATGTATGTATACAAATTCATTTATATACACATATATATATTTATATATATATATATTATATGTATATGTATATTTATTTTGTTTGGTTTTAATTTCATGTTTTTCCAATATGTCTGTATAACAGACAGAACAGACATATAGTCCAGTGGAACTGAATGTGTCCCCCAGCTAACATACTTAGCCTTGAATCTTAGTATTATCCTCCTGAGCCTAAGATCATGTGTGGCTGGAGATGTTTGGATAAGCTGTTTTGTCATTGGTTGTCCTTTTGAATGTTTTGTTTTTCTGGGCCGTACAAAATCCAGAACCAGACCCAGAATCAAAACCAAAACCGGACCCGTTTCGGACTTCGCATACTACCCCACCAATCCAACCACCCCAAGCTAACCCCAACTACGTATTATACTTTACCGAACTCTCTATCTCTCTACTTATCACTCTGTCTGTCTCGCTCTTTGTCTCTCTTTCGTTCCGTTTGTTGGCTTTGGTTTTGGCATTTTATTTTGACTCGCCTTCTTATATATCTACTTATATTATTCCTAAGTCATCTTAGTCATATAATCAAAAAACAATAGAAAAATCGAAAAAATCAACCGAATCTCTTATCTAATCCAATCTCTTATCGATCAAGTAAAAGTATACATGAAAGAACAAAAAAAAAAAAACATAAAATAAATAACATAAAAATATATATATACATATATCCAGAAAATCCATCTATTTATATCATACCCATATATTGTGCTAGTGAATGTACTGAATGCTATATTCATTATACTCTCTATTTTATTTATTATCTAACAGATTCAAACGATAAAAAAAAACCATTTCTCTTTATTCTTTTAATTACGATTGACATTCTTTCGATCCTAACTCTTCGTTTGGTTACATATGCTCACCCACCGTTTTAATAATCTCTTATTCGCCTTGTCATTATAATTGTCTCTATTAACGATTGCTCTGATTAGCGATGACACGATTAACGATTACCGATTAGTATCTTTCGTAAGCGTACCGCCATTTACCCCTCTGCCCCTGTACCGCCACGCTCTTTAATTCCAATAGAAAATATCGAAATAGAAAAGAACAAAAAAAATGTCCTCATCGGTATTGCGTTGTCTTCAAGATAGTACCAGGGACTGCATATTCATGTACTACGTATTTTTAGATCAGTTAATTCTCGTGACTCCCTGAACTCCCTTCCACCATTCCTTCTTCTGTCTTTAGGCCCTGATGTCAAGTTGATTATTTACTTGTACATACGTAACGAACAACTTCCCTGCCCAGTCCCCATCGCGATTTTTTGTTGTTTCTCTATAATCTGAAGTTTGTTTGTGCTCATTCGCTTTTTATTTCCCTGTTGAACTTCATCCTTGGATCCAAAATTTATATATATATATTTATATATGTATATTATGAAAATAAAAAAATAAAAATGAAAATAAGAATACAGGAGGTGTTCTAAGCTGGTAACCTATGAGATGGTCCTTGTGTACAATCCTTCCAAACCGTTTCCCTCCGATCTTTGGTTCTACTCTGTTTTGGCTGATTTGCTTACGTCATTAATTTAAATATCGCAAATGCTTCCTGATCTCTCTCTCTCTCTCTGTCTCTCTTTATTTATATATACACCTACATATTATATGTATGTATATATATACAAACCTCTCTCAATATCTTGCCCTGTCTCTCTTCAGTATATTTTTCTTTTTGGTGCTAAACATACGATATATGTACAAGTTATCTTTTCATAAGTTTTCGTAAGCTCAGCAATTTCTTCCGTACGTCATTTTCTGTTCCATTACCATTTCGTTCCGTTCTTATCGTATCGATTCTCTTCTGTTCGTTCTGTCGTTTTCTCCTCCTTTTTGGATGATTTTCGTCCACCTTTTTCCTTAAGTAAAATAACCAAGATAAAACTACAACAGCAAAGAAGTATTTTAAGATCCAGCAGCCATGTCGTCCTACCCATGATATATGTATGTACTATATGTATCTCTCTCTCTCCTCTCTCTCTGTCATGGAACTCTTATGAACCCAAACCAAAACCGAAACCGAAAAGCAACCCCCAGATCGTCCCCCCGTCTAAGAAAACGACTCTAACATAACAAAAACAACAATCACATTTCATATCGTTTCTATTTAGTCTATCTATCAAAAAAAAAAAAAAAAAACAAAACAAAAAGTATACTACAATAACTCCTAAATACCCAAACCGATTCGCCAGCAAATTAGAAATTGAAAAGAAACCTAAAAAATCAACAAAACTATATGAACGAAAAACAAAACAAGTTTTCTCAACTTTCCTTTTATAATTTTCTTTGTTGTTTGTTTAATGTTCTCTGTCGAACGTGGAACGCTGCACATTTGCTCGCTCTCCCTCCTTTGTGGACCAACCAAATCACGTTCCGTCTCGAACCGAACCGAACCGACCTGAACTGAAACTGAATTGAATTGAATTTGAATTGAAATATTCCAATGATTGGTCTACTTCTCAAACGAAAACAAACTTATCAAACAAAAAAATCGCTCTAAAAATTGAAACGATAACGAAAAAAAACCAAATCAAACGAATCTATAACGAAAATACGATCTGAAAAATGTCTGAAAATACGATAAAGGATTTCGAGGTATTGCAATGAACAAATTTCTTCTTATATTTGAACTTAAATTTATAAGCAACTATTGTTCTTTAAATGCCCTGCTCCACCACCGCCCAACAACGCCGTCACCCAACACCCAACACCCCACACACCCTCATCCGCTCCTCCATCCCTACACCCTGACACCCTCCGAACCCTTGCAAAAAACAAGAAAATATTTTCAGTTTTTCATTGATCATCATGATTTTTAACTTGGACTCTTTTTGCGTTCGAAATACACTTGATTTAATCCTTCACTTTCACCCACCAAACAAAAAAGTAAAAAACAAAAAAACAAAAACCCAATAAAAGTATACGAAAATATCTGATACTCGTATGGCATTCAACAGTTGAAAAACAAAAATCAAAAATAAAACCAAAAATTAGTAGTTGATATTGAATTTAAACTTTAAACCGCAAATAATATATATACCATAATGTATATTATTTACATGTATCTTTCTTTTGTTCCGAACTCTCTCTACTCTCTCATTATTGAACTGTTGGTTGATTAGTTGGTTGGCTAGTTGGTTTGATTGTTGAACTGAATAGTGCATATGAATATTGAATATTGAATTGAATCTGAGCCGTACTCTGTCCCCGTAAGGCCTTATTCGGAATTGAATACCGAAATAATGCCAATGTAGTGATGAGTATTTCGTGATTTACAGCTTTTGAGTTTGCTTTTTTCTTCCCATTCCACCAGAAACATGCTGTCGTTTAGTTTTAGTGATAGTATTCAGCGCACAACCACATGGGGCACACTCACCAGGGGCACACTCACCAGGGCCACACTGTCATTCGAAGTCTTTGAGCTTTCGCATGCCAAGCACTTGCCACTTGCCACTTGGTACTTGCCACTAGCCACTTGCCACACTCACTTCACCACCAATTCAGATCTTCCCTCCTCGGGCTAGGCACGTACCTCACACACACATTTCTGTCCTTTTCTGTCTGTCACACACACACTTTACCCCGCATGGCGATCCCAGAACAGACCAGACAATATCACGCTTTCTGTTTGTGACATTTTGTTGATGAGCAAATTCCTGGATGTCGCAGCCCCGCTACAGGACACCCAAAAACAATTCCACCTGCTTACAGGATATACATAAATACATATGTTTGAATTCTGACATTATTCGTAGTGTTGTTCTATTCCGTTGTTTTCTGTACTGTTCTGTTCCGTTGGTTGAGGCCCCAAAATCATATAGAATGACTCTGGGATGAATAAGATTCGTTGTGAGTCCTTTGTGAGTATTCATAAAGTATGCGGAAACCTTTTATAACACTGCAATGCAGAGAATACGTAACTCGAGATGGAAGCTTTACTGATACTGATAACTTTTTAATATTTCCTGGAGAAGGACAGCACAGACAGAACGATAAACGTCGGATTAAATGTCGGATCGTGTGTAGAGCTTGTTTCGCGAAAGTCTTCTTGGTTGACTATTGAGTTAGTTCTTCCACATGGTCGTAGAGTGGGCCAGACAATTCGATTAACCAACAATGGACAAATAAAAGTTGCTTCGTATTGATTTTGATTTATGTTTGCTTGTGTAGAGAGTTTTTTGTATACCAACGACTTGAACACCAATAGTAGTTGTAGTTTATAAATTAAGAAACCAATAAACAAAACAAAAATAATATCCAAAACCAAATCGTATCCTTAGAGACAAAAAAAAAAACAACACCCTTAGAAAGTCCTTAAATATTAATTAGAATATCGAAGAGATCACAAAAATTAGCAACTCCGTTTGAGATTATGGCAATCTCTGTCCAGTGCGGTTTCCTCTACTCTTTCTCTATCTTTCTCTGTGTCTTTACTCACTATCACGCTCTGTCTCTATTTCACTCCATTCTTGACTTTTTCCTCTTGCGTTTGCCTCTTCTGCCTCTTCATTTCCTCTGAAGTATCGCTAGCTAGTGCATTAGAGCTAAATTTAGCTAATTTAGATCTGAATGCTCATTTTCTGAGCCAGCTTCACTTTCATTTCCATTAGCATCTAATATATAGAAGTTTTTGTGCTAGTGCCACATGCTGCATGCCGTTACATGTGTTACCCTGTGCCTAAACCTTCACCTTTCCCTTTACCACCACATTCCTCCCTATCCTTAACCCTATCCATATCCCTATCCCTATCACTATCCCTAACCAGTCTTACACCTCGTCTGGACAACGACTAACGTATTGTGAGAGCGACTGTACGCAACGATCTCTCCCCATATATATTTTTCTGCCTTCAGCGCCTCCCGACTCTATCTTCCCCAGCGAAAGCTCCCGTGAGATTGAGAGCAGCTTGGTTCTGTTTAAATGCCAAGCGTTCCAGTCCCTGAAAAGCCTGAAAAAAGCCTCCCCCTGCTAGAAATCCATTTAGAAACGAAACAAAAATTTGGTTTTCTTTTGATTGTGTTTCGATTTCTTTTGTGTACTTGTACTCATAACTTCTCTAGTGACACATATCCACACCATGAAACACACACACTCTGTAATACACCACAGACTGTAGTCAAATTTAGATGATTTTCTGTTTCCATTAGTGCCGATTATACAGGGATTGTTCTGGTGAACCTCTGTATATGCTTACATACATATCTACATATGTATGCCTTCGTATCCGATACCTAAGCTACTTAGTATGCGACCATCTCACAAGTGCTAATTAGAACCCAAAACAAAATATAAAAAACAACCGAAAAAATTATATAAATTCCGTAATCAATATATATACATACATACATATCTATCTACATATATACATATGTATAGTAAAGCGATATGTGGAGAAATATATATTTTTAAAGTAAAAATCAGTAAACCAAACAAATTAACAAGAAGTTTATTTGATTTTTCTGCATTCTCTCTCTCTCTCTCTATCTCTATCTCTCGCTCTCACTCTCTGCATCTCAGTCTTAGCTTTTGTTCCATACCGTTTCATTTCATCTTGCGTTCCATCTGTGTCGGTCTGTTCAGTTCTGGTTCCTTATGTTCCCTTTTGTTCTGTTCTGTTATTTTCTGTTCCGTTCCATTCCGTTCCTTTTCTCGATCTCCTATGCACTAATAACTGCCACCACACTAGATGCATGTTGTGTGTATTGAGTACTTACATACATACATATATATATATGTATATATATATATATATATGTAGATGTCGTTGACTGCACTTGTACCTAAAGCTTCTCACGCCCTGCATGATGATGAGTGACGGCCCATGTGCTTGCGTATCACTAAGTTTTTGTTTGCCTGCTTGCCTGTTTGCCGCGTGTCGCTTACAATTTTATTTATTTTTCGTTCCGTTACATTAAGTTCCGTTTAATTTCGTTGCGTAGCAGTTTGACGTACGTTTGACCCACACGTCAAATAAAAGAACCAATTGAAAGAGAACGAAAAACGTTACCCCAATGCTATAATTTATCACCCGTGTGCGCTACCTCTATCTTCTGTACCTCCCTCTACATATCTGCCTCTTTCTCTATCTCTCTCTCTTTGTTGAACAAAGTTTTGTGTGAAAGCTTTTCGGTTTTCCGCCTTATCATTTGCATTTAGTTGGATTTTGTTCGGTTCCGTTTCATTCTGTTGCGTTACGTTCCCTTGCGTTACGTTCCAATCTTGCGTTCTGTTCAGTGACGGAGCCTTTATCCGAACCGCATGTGAACCAGCAAAGCTAAACTAACCGTCTTCTCCCGACCATAATTTCAGTTCTTTGTGCGGCTGGACCACATCCGCAAGTGCTTCACCCAGAAGGGCGGCATCTTTGTGCTGGAGGAGTACAGTAAGTACTGTATACAAGCTAACCGACCCGATCTGGGTCCGCCTCAGCCGCAATACAACTGATCAAACTGTTGCTCTTTCACTTTCAGACCCCAAGACGCGCAATCTCATCCAGCGGAAGTATCAGTCGAGCATGGTAAGCGAAATGTTCCCACCAAGATTCACCACATGGCCACCACATCCGTCCAGCACTCTCTACCACCATCATCCACACCATACATCATTATACGCACTCTGTTCTTCCTTGAGAAGTTTTGTTTATTGGGCGACTGTTTGTACATAAACTTGCTTGAGCATCGTTCAATCAATCCCACGCCAAAGAAGGGTATTCTGTGATCCAACCTACTATGTATATTTACTGTATAATAATTGCACATTGAAATTGAAATGCACCAAACAGTTTGTATATGTACCATATTAAGATAATCTGTTTGATTTTTGGTTTTCTTTTCTTTCCATTCACGTCTTCCGTTTGTTTTTGCATTCGTTTTCTTTGTGAATATATTTCTATGTAAACTACAACAACTACTACTACTACAACAACAACAACAACAACAATATGCCTGCAACAACCACAACACATACCAACCACTCTACTATACTCCACTCAACTCCACTCAACACAACTTGACACCACACATCTCATTAACAATATCATCGAAACACAAACACGACCTTTCAAATCGACTCAAATAAACGTGAAACTGAATCCGAATCCGAATTCGAATCCGAAACCGAAACCAACCCCCAACGAATCAACACAAAGGCGTCGGAAATAGTCTTGAGCTTCCATCGCGTGACCTCCGTGCAGTTTGCCTACATCTGTCATCTGAAGGGGACCCGAGGTACAGTCCCCTCCGCCCCCCAGCATGGGACCCAGAGAGCGCTGGCAGCCAAGGGACAAATGGATCCAAAGGATGGATCATTGCCTGTGGAGACCCAGTACGAAATTCCAAAGTGAAAATGTGCATTGAATGCTGCCTTAAAATCTGATGTAAATAAATTCAACATTCGTTTTATATACTCTTATCTATAATTGTATCTTCCTACCTCCTCCACAACAACAACAATCAAAACATATTCCACAAGAGCAGGTTATACATATGTACATGCATACACAGTGTTGTATCACAAAGATCGGGCGAAATGATTTTTTGGTTCTGACTTTGGCTTTTCGTTTAATTTTCGTTAAGTTTTCCGTTGCGTTGTCGTTGGCCATTGCTCCAAAGAGTGCATGCGTTTGGTCGGCTTTGGTCGGTTTGGTTCCATTTGCGTTTCCGCTTCCGTTTGCGTTTGCGGGAGCCTTTTGCTTGTTTATGCCTTGTTGTGTCGTGCAAGCACCACTGCCACTTCCAAACCACCCAGCCACCACCAACCACAACTGACACTGTTCATGAAAACACCTCAGCCACAGACACAGACACAGATACAGATACAGACACAAGAACCAACCACTAGAAGAAAAGCTAAAATATAACTTATACGCCCCTGCTTCCCCGCCGAACATCCACCATCCGCCGCCTCACCATTTGGCAGTCCGACCAGATCTGCTATTCGGTGCTGTGCGTCTTCTCCTACGTGGCTGCCGGCCAGGACCAGAAAAAGAATCCAGTTGTAATCACGCCCCAAATCCAGGACATACACGCCCAGCAGAAGCAAAAGCACCAACAGCAATCGCAGCAGCAGCAACAGCAACAGCATCAGCATCAGCATCAGCAAATGCCACCAGCCACGGCTCCAGCTAATAGTCACGCCCAGAACCGCAGCAGCGGCAAGCAGCAGGGCGGCAACATCACCATACGGCACACGGTGCCCATGCAGAAACCGACAATCACCATGTCCACAGTCCAGCCGCAGGCCAGGATGCCCTCCACAGTCACAGTGACTGCTGCTCCAACTCCAGTTCCACTTCCCACACCCACTCAACCCACCACAGCCACAGCGACAACCACAGTGAGTCCCACGCCTCATGGAAAGCTGCCGCAGTTGCCGCCCCGTGTGCCCTCACAGCCGTCGACGGAAAGCCTGGCGTCGATCAGTTCACCGCCGCCCAAGCAACGACTGGGTGGACCGCCACCCGGCCCCCCGCCGGCCATACCGCCCCGGACGGGGGCCATTGCTCGCAGCGGTTCCGTGCAGGCGCAGCAGCAACAGGCGACGCGCACCTTTGTGCGCCAGGCCTCGGCCAACTCGACGCCGCCGCAGTACACTCCCCAGCCGCCGCCGCCCTTCGTCATCCCCAAGCGGCACTCCGGGCTGGCCCGCGCCTCCACCCTGACGGGGGCCCAGTCCAGCTCGCACCAGCAAGCGCAGCAGTCGCAGCAGCGCGCCAGCTATGGCAGCGTCGCCGCTGTGCTGCAGTCCATGCCGGAGGCGGAGGCTGGCCCTGGCTCTGGCTCTGGCTCTGGTCCCGGATCCCCTTCCGGCTCTGGCTCTGGCACCGTTGCGGGCCCTTCGCCTCAGGCCCACCGCAAACACTGACGAAGGAGTTCATTTTTCAAATTCGGTGGCGGCGGTGGTGGCAAGGGCGATGTGGCTGCCGGAGGCGGAGGCGGTGGACATATGGGTGAGGAACCGCATCCACACCCCCACAGGCGAGACGTATGCCGCACCATATGTATACCCTGGCTGTGATCCGCCAGCCAGGACAGCTTAGATCAAGCCTAGAGAAGTTGCATTCGCATTGCAGCCACACTTAAAGCTCCAGACTCGTTTCACTATAAGCGCGGAAACTGGACTACCGCGGGCTGCTCCTGCACCCAAAAAAAAAGATTTCACATTTTTGCAATACTACTGATTCATTAGCAATCCCTGCAAGGCTACTGAAAGCTCGGATATATGTATTGTTATAACGAATGTATAACTCGAATATGTATATCCTCAAGTATCCTTGCAGAACCGATAACACATTCCTCACATAAGTTTCCAATGTTTTCCAGCACAATGTCATTTCATTGAATTGATCTTCCTTCAGTCTGCAAGTATGCCCCAAGCGCACCCCAGAAATACACAACATGTCTGCTTAAGCACTCCGTTGAGTTAGATCAGCCGAAACTATCGTTAGTCACAGTCCCAACTGACCTTTCAACGATTCCTCAAATTGATAAATCGCGAGAACAGATTAAAGCTTCACACCCTTTTCTACAATCTGCACGGATATATGCAGTATCTAATAAGTAATTATTTTAATATATGTACGTGCAGCTCCGATATCCCTAGTTCCATTTGCGGAGCTCCTTTTTTTGCAAAATTTGTTGATCACAATTATAGATCAATCCCTTGTTCCATCGGCTCTTCGTTAATGTAGTCTGCCAGTATACTAAAACGCCTCAAAGAGAGCCGTTCATAGATGTCAAATGTTTTATATATACAAATAAGCAAGAAGATACATACATATATCCCTATGTAACTCTTAACTGTATTTATCGAACATTATTCTAGCCACAATCATATCATTAGCCGCCACTAGCTATGCCAATACATACATTGTTTCCTGTTCAGCTTTAAGGCAGCAACAAAGCCGAAAGCAACAAAAATTAACTCGCTTACCATGCCAGCTATGGATACCTATATAGATATATACATACATACATATATAGAACAGGACTTGACTTCCTTTCGGGGAATATTTGTATATTGAGGGCACAACAGAACAGGAGGAGGAGGTAGAAGGTAAAAGTAGAAGAAATTACCAAGCTAAGCTGTAAGAATAAGAAAAAACTAAAGGCAAGTGAGGGCAATCTAGGTAGGGAAATGTAGCATACGAATACGAAGGAAAGTAAAGCAGAAAGTAGCGGAAGAAATACCATGTGTATGTGTATGTACTATATCTACTATACCAATCAATCAACTACTTGTATGATCAGACAGCCAGCACAGACACAGATACATCTATTTATTGTAAAGGAATTTAGCTAGTTATACTATAAACAAGTGAACAAAAATTTGAGTAAAGCGAATTTTGTCCCATGTTCGGATCGGACCGGTTCGGATGAATTGGATGGTAAAATAGCTTAAGGAATTGTCAGGGAACACACAAACAAAGAGGCAAGAGGAGGAACAGACAGAGGGAGAGGACCTTGGAGAGCAATAAGTATGTCTATATACCTAATATACAAGTAAATATATATACATATACATATATCTATTTTTTGTTTCCGAGAGGACAACACAACTGTTTGTTGGTTTTGGATGTTAACAATAGATAAAACCGAACCTACATATATATGAGCATATATATATATATAAATATATACATGTATGCGTATACCTCTATCTGCGTATATATGTATATGATCGATTGTATTTTCCATAGTTCAAAGCGAAATAAACAAAACAAAACAACATAATTGAAATAATCATTTCCTCTAGTCCAAGGTTGGGGTTCTATAATTATGCTCTTGACCCACTGATACCCCACTGACCCACCCAAAGTCTCATTTGGAGTCTCAGTGGTGTTCAGAACTGCTCGCGATCCCTGATAGCGAGTGCTATTTTCATTTGATGTTTATTATACCCGACACTCAACGAGTATTGGGGTATATTAGATTTGTGGCGAAAGTGGATGTGTGTAACGTTCAGAAGGAAGCGTCTCCGACGCCAGAAAGTATAAATATTCTTGATCAGCATCGATATGGTCATAGAACAGCGATACCAAACGATATAAAAAATATATTGTATAAATTATATAAACCATTAGCTCACATAGACATGTACTGACTGAGTACAGGGTATAAAGAAGAGCCGCGGCCTTCGCCGTGGCCCACGACGTTCCCCCTCGTTATTTTTAGACTATTTTCGTTTTATTTTAGACTAAGGCCAGAAGCTAATAAAGCAAATACAAGTACGAGTTGAAGCTTGGGGCAGATGATCCGAGATGTTTCAGTTGTGGCTTCGTGGCTGTATGCGCAGTCGGACCCCGTTGCCACTCTTCATTACCAGCTCTGCCAGGGGAATGGGCTGGTGATCCTCATCGGGCATAAACTGAAAGCTGCGCAGGAGGCTGGATAGCGAGCACTTAAGCTCCAGCATGGCGAACTTTTGACCTGAATAAAGCATTTAAGAAATTGTCAACATAAGACCATGGCGAGTACTTCGACCTTCATCACATCCGGTACTCTGATTCCCTCATAGACTCTCATTGGTCGTAGATTGAACTTGAATCTGAATTAAATATAACGAAACTCTTTGGAACAGTACTGGCATGGAATCGCCATCGGGCACATCAAATCAGTGAGACTGTCTGACGCGACAGTGCCTACTGAACCGAGTGTGAGTATTTTGATTGGTACATCAAATATTTAAAATTGTTTAGGTGGGGTTCGATCTTGACAGAGAAAGCCTGCTGAGATAAGATGTAGACAAAGACACGAGAAAGCCTAGAAGGAATACTCTCCAAGTACTGGACACAGTGATGCCTCAACCCCCGGTCCACTTCCCCAAGTGGATGATCTTACCTATGCAGTTTCGGGGCCCCGCACTGAAGGCGGCAAAGGCAAAGGGATGCATCTGCTTCTCGTTTAGGTAGAAGCGATCAGGATCAAAGCGCTCTGGATCCGGAAAGTTGTTGCAATCGCGATGCAGCATGTAGATCAGACAGTTGACCGAGGCACCCTTTGGTATGGTGTGCTTGCCCACCTGTATGTCCTCGAAGACCTTGCGCGAGAAGAACGGCACAGAGGGATACAGTCGCAGCGTCTCCTTAATGATCGCCTCCAGGTATGGCATGGATTCCTTCTCGCGGCCCTCGAGATCGCAAGCCTCCTCGTAGGCACGCTGCTGCACCTCCGAGTGCTTGGAGAGCAGACTCAGGGCGAAGGCTATGGCTGAGCTGGTAGTATCGTGTCCTTCGAACATGAAAGTATCTACCTCTTCGCGTATGTCGCGGTCGCTGAGCTCGTCGCCGCCCTCCAGCTGGGTGAGCAGCAGCATGTCAAGGAAAGCCAGACGCCGCTTGCTGCCCACATCGTCCTGTGCGGCCTCGGTCCGCTGCTGCAGCTGACGCTCCTTAACCAGCTGCTCCCGCCGCAAGCGGATCACGCGATTGGTCTCGTCATGCAAAACGCGCAGAGCGCCGTCCCGCTCCTGCCCCGCCTGGGTGTACTTAAAAAAGATGTTGAGGCGCTGCCAGAAGGAAAAGCTCTGCTTGTGCATCACCCGGCAGATGCTAGTAGGGGAGAGGGATAGTCCAGTCAGTTAAACTAACATTCAGGCTAGTTAAGGGATCGGTAGAACTACTCACGTCTGGACAGCCTTCACATACTCGGACTCGCTCTGCAACTGGGCATGCTTCTTGATCCCCATGGCCGTCTCGCAGATGGCGTCCAGGGCAAAGAGCGTGATGTAGGGATAGATGTCGAAGGCCTCGCCATTGGCACGCTCCTTGAGCTGGCTCACCAGGATCCGGCAGTTCTCCTCCATCGGCTCCTTGAACTCGCTGAGGATGCGGAAGTGGAAGCCGGGGGTTAGGAGCTTGCGGCGACGGTGCCAGGACTCGCCGCCATTGGTAAGCAGCCCCTTGCCCAGCCAGGGCTCGAGGAGTGCGTAGTTGCGTGACTTATAGAGCAGGGAATTGTTGCCCAGCAACTGTCTGATATCTTCCGGGTCGCTAAACATCACCATCAGATCCTTGCCGAACCAGATGCGAAAAACGGGCCCATGGCGCTCCCGCAGCTCCTTCAGCCAGTTGAGGATCTCTAGGGAAAATAACGAAACGATTAGAGTTCACTAATAAAGCTCTATTCTAAGTACTCCATCCAAGGACTCACCTCCCTTCTTCACATTGGCTATCAGCTCGGACACACTCGGTCCGGGCAGGGTCTTTGCGAAGCGCTGCAGTCTCAGGAAGGTGAGGATCTGCGGGAGGTATCGCAGGAACAGCGCCCACAGGGCGAATGCCATCAGAGCCCACGTATTCATCGCGATGTCACTTAATAAAAAATGTACTTCCGTTACTGATCCTCCAGCTCCGGCTACAAGTTACAAACACTTGCTAAACAAAAAAATATATAAAACTTGGAGTGTTAGTCTGACAAGTTTGCTATCTGCTCGGCAATAGATCTCGTTTGAAACTAAATCGCAACTAAGTAAAATTACTTCGCAGCTGTCTCGGCAGATAACAGAGCAAGCCCCAGCCCCAAATCAAGTCGCACTCTGGATGCCCTCCGCTTCCGTTGGGTTAGGAAATATGGGCGGAAGTTTTCACATTTCACCTAGAAACCAATCCAAGATGTCCATGCTATCCAAGAATGTGGGAGCCGTGTACTGTGTACCAAGAACTCAAAGGGAGATTTCCACCATGCAAGCACATGATCTCTATACTTTATCTGCAATTAAAAGTTATTATTGTAAGCGTCTTGGCTTACCCATTTAATCAGCTTAATCATTGCCGTCAACAACTGAAAATCAGCTGAGAAGACAAATAACCGTTTGTAAAACTCAATGATCACTCAATGATAGTGCACCGCACACTTGACGCGAGC